GCGAGTCCGTGAATGTTGTATAGTAAAATACAACTAATAATATAAAATAAAAATAATATTAATAGATGATACCTTTATTAATAGTAAGTAATTGCCAACTTTGATCTGGGCGCTGCAAATGGACAAATGTTGTATAGCAACAAAATTCTTGAATGACCTAACGAGATCACCTACCTGCAATTAAAGAGAAAAATAGTATGATCAACAATGTTACCAGTTATTATTAAAATTAGGTGAATTTAAAATTAAACAGGTACTTGAATAGTTTTTTAATATTCCAACATAAAAATACAAGTTTATAAACAATAATAATATGCCACATAGGTTAGTCACACAGACTATTCTCACACAGAGAAAGTGCCACACAGGCTATACTCTGTTTTTTTTTCTCAGGTAAGATTTCGACAGACGATGACAGAAGAAAAGCAGATGACGTCCAATATCAATCTATTTATTTTACAAAATAAAGTTTCTAATATTTTTTAAGTTAACTATGGATGGGTTTAAATATAAATCCGTCATACGTCGTCTCTTGTTGTTTTTAAACAGTTTTATTGGTTTACTTCAAAAATGACAGATCATATTTCAATTTTATTGGTTTGACGGAACGATGAACGACAAACGGACGCCGATGCGTATGAACTCGCCTTTAGATTTTTGAGGCTTGTCAAAGTCTTGCCAAATTATAGGTTATAAATTTGTGTCAACTTATGTCAAATATCTGCGTTTTGGAAGATGATGCATTTTGATTCTTGTATTACGTATGTTTTGTGTCTTTTGAAGTTAAGTGGAGGAAAAATCGAGGGGAAATTAACTGTAGACCCAGATCACAGTTTATGGTTAATACTCGCTGCCCAGGCAGAAAGTCTTATACACCAATAAAGTTACCATCAATAAAGTTTGTATACTATCTCGTCGCAGATAAGTGCATCTCGTATATGGTACAAGGATCGTAATAAACATATACTAAAAACTGGAGTAGCTGTAAAATATCGACATCACACGATAAGTAAATAATCCATTGTTTAATAATGGATTTTAGTACTGCAGAAAAATAATGTCAAAAGGTACTGGTTTAAAAAATTAAGATTAAAGTTAATTAATCAACCTTTAACGTATAAAATTTGGTAAGTGTTATTATTAATAAAATAGTTTGTTTTATTTATGTTGTTTTATTTATTCCTGTGGAATATTACAAATTTGTATTTGTACATAAGTTATATTGATAAATATAATAATAAATGTGCAAAGTTTCTTGAAGCTTGAAAGTAAGATACAGTTCTTTTTTATAGTATATTGGTATGTGGTGTTTTGTTCTTGTTTGTTTTGTATTAAACACATACCGTTTTCTTTAAAATAAAATAACTTGATTACATTTTTTCAGTTTTATACAGTTTTTTTTCACAATATTTTGAAGTAATCACTTATCAGTCAAATTCTAAATATATTAATTTCCTGCTATGCGTTCCAGTTGTACCAACTTATTTCTTTGTAAAATAAAATAAACTACTTTGAAATTAAAATGACAGACACATCTATAACTGCCAAGGATCTTGTCGTTGGACAGACTATTTTCGCACAGACTGTTCATACACAGAGGAAGTGCCAAACAGGCTAGTGACACATACTGTTCTCACACAGAGAATATGCCACACAGGCCAGTCATACAGATTGTTCTCACAGAGAGAAAGTGCCACACAGGCTAATCACACAGACTGTTATCACACAGAGAAAATGCCACACGGACAATCTACGTCACACAGGCTAACTACGCCATGAGGCTAACTACTCTTCAAGGCTAACTACGCTACACCTGCTAATTGCGCCACACAGGCTAACTGAAAAAAATAATAATGCTAAACATAATTCAGTTATATATTATAAGATAAATCTGATAATATTAATACGCAAATACATTTTTATATTTTATTAAAGTCACATACATACATAAAGAAATACTTTAATATTATCATCTGCAAATCATCAAAATTGCAGTTTATTTTTGCATCAGTACCAATCACTGATTCTAAAATCCTTCAATGCAGTATGGCCAACTATTTCAATCATTGTCGGTCGCTCCGTACATGATTAATATAATATTCTCCAAGAAACACGTTTGCTTATATGCAACAAATTTTATTATTTAGAAATGTCCTTTGTAGGTATAAACATTTTGAGTAAACGTGTCTCAAATAAGATTCCTCCGCGACCTCGGCCGTTAAAACCCAATTAAGCTTGTTTAAATTTATAATCAGACCTGAACCGTGGATTGAGTAATGCAATTTACACCAGGTCCAAGTTTATACGTTGCGTCATCTAAGTGGCTATTCGCACGGAGTTATGTAGTCGTATTACCATATATAGAGCAATGCGGCGCTCGAGAAACCTAATGTAATAAAGTACTCTTCTTGTTTATGTAATTAAAATCGACACTAATGAATAAATATAAAGGTATTTATTTTTTTGAGTTATTATTGGGTGTGATCCAAATACTACTAGGTGTTGACTGTTTATTTATTTTTTGTTTTTCCTTGTCATTTGTAATTTTTATTTAATATATCCATCGTATATTTACGAAAAGCTGAATGCAATATTTATTTGTATTTTTGTCCGTAATAGTATTCATATTTTACGATATCCGAATACCAATTTCGCACCTTCCAGTAATCTAATTTATCCGTTGCATGCAACCAAACAACTAAATTGAGATGATTACTTTTATATGTACATCAGAGTAACAGTAAAATGTAAACAGAAATCAATATGAATTTCTTTTGAATATTATATACTTAGGTATAACATTAAACAAAAGATGTTATCGTGGGGACTATAATAAAAAAGAAAAATATGAAATTATTGGGCAACCTACAGTAAGATCAGCCATGAAACACGGCCAAAACACGACTACCAGTAGACACTAGTGTTTCTGCCTTCCGGCTTCATCAATACGGCAGGAATCAGCAACGATGAACTAGCGATCCTGAAAAAAGAAAAAGGGGAACACTATATGATAACATTATATATTTTTTTGTTTTTGTTTCATTTTCATGAAATAATTTTCTTGAAAATGAAACAAAATTTTTGGGCATCAATTTCAGACATTTGTAAATAACTCAATTATGATGGCTGTATTCGGTTGTAAAACCAGGTAAATTAGGTCGGTAATGTGGTAAGGATTCAGTAAGTAATCCGGTAAGAATGCGGTTTCTAAAAAATATCAGTAGGTAATACATCTGGGCGCGTCTCAAAAGTGGCTCACCCTTATGAGTTTTTTATTTTGTTTCAGATAAAAAACGAGATTTGGTATGTTAGTATATGACATAAATGAGAATTATTGATTGACGTAATTATTTTCGGCCACTTCCTGTTTCACCGGAAATGACTACCAGCGACTAACTTTTGATTTTTAAATGGGACCCTCTGTACTTTTTTACTTTATTCGACAGAAAAGTACACTCTGAATAGATTGACATATCATATGTCAACTTTTAGACTTATTTAGGGTATCATGGCTGCGTTAAAAAAACTAATTTTTAATCAAGGAGCCATGCAAAAATAGATTTGATCGTCTAATGTTTTTAGTCTCTTGTCATGGCCGGTTAAAAATGCCCAAATCGCATTTTTAGCCATATGTCAACTTTTTCAAGCATATGTGGAATTGATTGAGATTTGGTACCACACACATGGTATTTCGAGTCAAATTGTGGTTATGTATCGCATGTTGCAATTTCAGATAAGCCATATTCGAAAATGTCAAAAGTTGACATATAATATATGTCATTCTATTCAGAGTGTCATTTTCTATCGAATAAAGTAACAAAATACCGAATGTGCCATTTAAAAATCAAAAGTTGTGGTAATTTCCGGTGAAAAATGAAGTGACCGAAAACAATTGAATACGTCAATCAATCCTAATTTATGTCATATACTAACATACCAAACCTCGAAGGCCTCGCCCAAAAATTGTAAATACCCAAGGCCTTACCGTTGGTACTCATGGCTCCAGAACATCAGGGATTGGAGCGGTATACTGGACGCAGTAACCATATTCCGTGGGCCAGAAGACAATATCGTTACAATCAAGAGAATGTGCAAATGACCACCAATGTGCAAGATTGCATATGGGACGGAAGAACAAATTTTAACAACAATTTGTCAATCAAAAACCCGACACAGCAAAACGCCGACGATACAATTTAGGTGAATACCGTAATTTTATAATTACGATATTATACGACGATAGCATAGTAAATAAGCGATATAATACCAGGAATATATCTACAATATTCCTCAATAGGTATATACCCTATGCCCTCTGGGAATATACCAGTTATATACTCAAATTCTATTTATCTACCCGTTGTCTATCTATTTACCCACCGCCCATCATTGGCTACCACAAACAACATATTCGCTGGCAATCGGAGAAAACTTTCTTTGTTATTTTTTATTTAGTAAATGATCAGGGGAGGGATAAGTAAATAAAAATTTCTTTATTTTGAGAGATCTTGGTTTTACAAAGTCTTGTACTGATCGGTCCTGATCTAGCAGGTCTAACGCAAGTCTTTGTCTGAAAGACGAAAGCCAAAACGAGTGTCGCTCATCTCCAAATACGATGGTATTGTTGAAAAGCTGAATGATCTTGTCAGTTCTTTAGACGGCCTTTCTACCTAATTTGGCATATATTTTCTTGTATATATATATAAAACTATTCTAATAGCATCGTCATCTTTCGTGAATTAGATAGTAATTATATTAGTCTCTGACCATAACGTAAAGCAGAAAATCAAACTTCCTATTTCTTTCTTTTCGTTACTCTGAACCAGACCCTCCAACTTGAATCTCCCCTTATCGCCATTCCAACTGCTACATACCACCCTCTTTCCGCCATTCCCGACCCTTCCATCCACACTGCTCCATACACCCCCCAATCCCTCCCCAAACGCGCAGACTCTCCCCAAGCGACTGGCGAGCGAGCTTAGCTCTTCTCCCGACGCGGTTCGTCTCTCCTCGCATCAAAAAGTGACCGCCAGACGTCGCGACCGGTCCTCCGCATCGGCGCCGCCGCTGGTACCACAACAAGCTCTAAGAACCGCCGGGTCCTCGACGGCTACGTCAGTCCCGTGTGACGTATCGCGCCTCTTCTTCTGTCAAAATACCTCTCCATCTTCGGGGATAGATTGACATCGGTCGTTACCGGAAATAGGAGTGTTTTTATTTTGCATCGAGAGAGATAATTGTCAACGATGAGGGTGTTGGTTGTGGCGATGGTTATTTGCGCCTTGTGGCTGGTCGGCGAGACTGAGGCCAAGCGTAAGCGAAAGTTCGAGGGCGACTTCGAGTTCGCCGAAGAGGTAAGGAAGATCGCGGCTCTGGCTGTTTTTGTGTGGTTTGTTTTGGTCGTGTAGCGTGAAAGATAGGTAGCGCAGAGGCGGATTCAGGAGTAGAGTGTGTTACAAAAATAAACTTGTAGTCGTATGAACACTATTTTTCTGGTTTGTTTTTGTTGGAGCGTGAAAAATAAATAGCGTAAAACTGAACGAATTCAAAAATGTACATGTATTATTTAACAATCTTTAATTGTAATAAAAAAAAGGTAATTAATGATATAAATAATTCTATATTTTGAAGTTCGTTAAAACAATAATTCTTCTTAATCTAACACTCTCTAAATGCATAGATACGTCTATTTACTTTTTTACATATATTATATTATATACCGGGTGCGTCTCAAAAGTAGCTCACACCTATAACTTTTTTATTTTTACAGTTAAAAAAACGAGATTTGGTATGTTAGTATATGACATAAATTAGGATTGATTGACGTATTCAATTGTTTTCTGTCACTTCCTGTTTCACTGGAAATAACTACAAATTTTGATTTTTAAATGGCACCCTCGGTACTTTTTTACTTTATTCGATAGAAAATAACACTTTGAAAAGAATGACATATCATATGTCAACTTTTGACACTTTCGCATATGGTTTATTTGAAATTATATCTTGCGGTTTGTAACGAAAATTTTACTCGAAATACCAAGTTTGTGATACCAAATTATTCGTAAAAAAATGCTTTCTCCAAATATGCTAATTCGTTCCATTTGAAAAAAATGAAATATGATTAAAAATGCGATTTGAGCATTTTCTAACTGGCCACGACAAGACACTAAAACATTAGAAAATCAAATCTATTTTTCCAAGGCTCCTTGATTAAGAATTAGTATTTTTAACATAACCATGGCACTCTAGATTGAATTTTAAAATTTAATTTTGTTTTAAGCGAGAATGTCAAAAGTTGACATATGATATGTCATTCTATTCAGAATGTCATTTTCTTCGAATAAAATAAAATAATACCGAGAGTGCCATTTAAAAATCAAAAGTTGTAGTCATTTCCGGTGAAACAGGAAGTAACCAAAAACAATTGAATACGTCCATCAATCCTAATTTATGTCATATACTAACATACCAAATCTCGTTTTTTTATCTGAAGAAGTAAAAAAGTTAAAGGGGTGAGCCATTTTCGAGACGCACCCGGTATACATAATATCTACTAAAGAAGGAAAATCACCTCTTGAAATTTGGCCTTGCATTTTTCGAAAACCCTGTATATGATAAACTAAAATTAGATAAAGTCGTATTTTAATGAGAACCGTATTATTTTCACTGTGTTATTAATTTTACTCTTTTGTTTCACTATTGTTTAATTAAGAACTATTGATCATTTAAAATCTGGCTTTAATTAATGGTATTTTATTATCATCAGTGATGAAATAGACATTAACTATTATCCTTATAAAAAGCTATTATATAGTAATTATTAATTCTAAATGCGAATGTATCTAATGATAACTTATAATACCGGGTGCGTCTCAAAAGTGGCTCACCTCTATAGCTTTTTTATTTTTTCAGATAAAAAAACGAGATTTGGTAGGTTAGTATAATATGACATAAATTAGGATTGATTGACGTATTCAATTGTTTTTGGTTACTTCCTGTTTCACCGGAAATGACTACAACTTTTGATTTCTTAAATGACACCCTTGGTATTTTTTTTACTTTATTTGATAGAAAATGACACTCTGAATAGAATGACATATCATATGTCAACTTTTGACATTTTCGAATATGGTTTATTTAAAATTGCAACATGGGGTTCATAATGACAATTTGGCCCGAAATACCAAGTGTGTGGTACCAAATTATTCGTAAAAAAATGCTTTTTCCAAATTTGCTGATGAGCCACCCAAGTTCCATTTGAAAACATTGAGATATGATTAAAAATACGCTTTGGGCATACAAAAAATATTAGACGATGAAATCTATTTTTCTAAGGCTCCTTTATTAAAAACACTGTTCTTAACATATCCACATAAAAAAATCCAGACTAGATAAAATCAGGGGCATTGAAGTATTCTGTATTATACAAAGTGAGTTTCTTACGATGTTTTCTATGGGTATCTCGGAAACTACTGGAGATAGAGAGTCGGTTAAAAGGGGAAAGAATTGCAGTTTTGTGGGGTCATAAACATGCGCCCTTCAGATTTTTCGAAAAGTTCATGGCTTACTAGATATTTCGAAAATAACAAATTTCGGCTATTTCAAAAATTGTCCCTAATTCCATTATAATCTATTTTAGACAAAAAGTTTTCAGATAAAAGTTGTAGATAATCACATCCTTAATGGGCCTTTTTTCTAAAGCCCAATATGACACAAACATATGTTTTTTTTAAATGGACACCATAGTTGGATATGACTTCATAAAAAGCGCCATTTTTTAAGCTTTTCATCGTTATAAGCTATAATATGTTTCTTTCGAAAAATTACTGAGTTATAGAAAATTCTTATCGTTTTTAAACAATTTCACTTAGTTAGCCATGGAAACAAGTTCAATCGTCGTTGCTCTCAGTAATGCGAAAATGTCACATCCAAACTTTGTAAATTAAAATAAACAAAAATTGTAAATATGAATGAATTTCAAATGAAGAACAGCATTTAGGATGGGTTCAACTTTTCTTGCCCATACATTTTCGAGGATACGTGGACCGGTGAACGTTACTTACGTTTTTAAGAAAAGTTAAATTTAGATACTCGCGTATCAATAGAGTGGTTCCAACGTGACTTTCATTATGACACTCCTCCTCATAATGAAAGAAAGATTAAAATTTATTTATATCATAATTATGCAAACTCAAGGATGAGAAGAGTTGGACCAATTGCATGGGCCTCCTCGATCACCCGACCTATCCATTTTAGATTTTTTTCATGCGGTATGGTTAACAACAAGGTTTACAAAACAACTTATGAATTAAGAGAGGCAATCGAAGACGCGGCACTGAAGAAGTTTATTAAAGTCGACCGGCCGTTCTGTGGGAAAAGCTTGTAATTCAGTTTTAAAAAGATGCATTTTATGTGCTCAAATCAATGGCAATTTTTTGGAACATTTGCTAAAATAACTTAAAGTGTATGTAGTGATAACTTAAAGTGTATGTGTATGTATGATGATGTTTTTCTTTAAGTTTTAGTTTGTGTAATGTAAATTGTAAAGAACCGTTTAATAAAATATTCTGAATTTTTTTAAGTTATAAATCATAACAGAATAAGAATACCATACCAACTAAATGAAATTAGTCAAGAAATATAAGAATGGGTTAAAACTCATTAATTTTTCGAAAAAAAAAACATATTATAGCTTATATCGCTGAAAAGCTTAAAAAATGGCGCTTTTTAAGAAGTCATGGCCAACTATGGTTTCCATTTAAAAAAAAACATATGTTTGTGTCATATGTCAAAAATGACAGACTTTAGAAAAAATCGGAGAACACAAACTTATTAGAGATGTGATTATCTACAACTTTTATCGGAAAATTTTTATCTAAAATAGATTATAATGTTATTAGGGACAATTTTTAAAATAGCCGAAATTTGATTTTTACGAAATATCTAAGCCATTAACTTTTTCAAAGATCTGGAAGGCGCATATTTATGACTCCACTAAACTGCAATTCTTTTCCTATTTAAGCGACTCTCTATCGTCCAGTAGTTACCGAGATACCAATAGAGAACATCGTAGGAAACTCACCCTGTATATAGTACACTGCATTCACCAACTAAGAGAATCATATCAATTGTCTCTGATGTAGGATATGTTTGCATTTTTGGCAAATTTCTGAGACATTTTTTTGTTTTAACTGACACAAAATGATAACTAGTTGTTAAAGTTGGACTAATTAGACAGCTATGTTGAAGTAACGTCAGACATATCCCAGCCACCTAGATTTTATCAAATAATAAAGATCTACTCAGATCAAATCATGCAAATCAAAATATCTAGGAAAATCTTTGTTTGAGGGGTAGGCAACCTTAATAGTTCTGAAGAGACACGAATTCTCCATTGAATATCGAAATAATATACTGGGTGTTCCATTTAAAATAAAAGAGTAACATTCTTTTAAATGTGACCATGTAAAATATTAATTTTGTCTTACAATTTTGTATATCTTTTTGGATTAAGTTTTAATTTAATTTAAAGTACAATAGTTAATTTAACTACATATTAGGCTATACCTGGTAAATTACAATTTAGGTAGCTTTTATTGTAATTTAAAAATGGTTCTTTATTTTTAGAAAATGTTAAATATGTCAAAAACTTTACATTTTAGTCATATACTTCTCTTATAAAACTCACCTTTACAACTTTGATATGTAACTTTTTTGGGGAAACCCTGGAGAACTCATATTTTTAAGTGTTCAGAATTAACCTACATATGGTCACAAAATGTAATTTCAATACAAACTCTCGTTCTCCTTGGAGCCTCCGCAGCGTATGAGAGGCGCCACCCTGTATGTGTAAATGTTTAAAAGGATAACCTAAACAATAACTGGTAGTGAATGATGTGAGGATTAATATAGAGGATGACATTTTATGATCGATTTCATTTTATATGTAAATTTATATGGTAAATGTCATCAATTCTGTTTTTTTATTGTACGATGTTACATATAACGATGAAAAAGTTTTTCACAGAAAGAAAAAAATAATTGAAAAATCTATTTATTGCGGAAATACGAGAAAATACGTATTTTAAACATTGAAATTTTTACTCTGAAACTTTTAATTAGCCTTACTCGAGAAAAAGTTTTTTTATTTTAAATCGGCAAAACCCGGAAAGTTTTAATACAAAATCCGCAACTTTATTTAAATGATCGTAACAGAAATCAGTCGCAATTTTACACGATAATACGTTTGGAAAATTACTTTTCGGCTAGTAGCTGTTGCGAATTTAAAGTTGTAAGATACGCGAAATTCTCTAGTTCTACAACACGCTGTACGCTTATGGAATGACCAAAGTTT